GAGATCTGTGCTTTAGACATGCTCTTCCTTACCTCCACTGTGCAGTAGCAGTCCAATTTCCCCTTGGTAATCAGGGTACATCAATCACCCTAGCCAGTACAGTAATTCCTTTGCTTATTGATTAGAGGTTGAGAAGCCCAAAGTAACCAAATAGCAGTCTTAATAACCAGATTAATGGAATTGTTGTGTTCCTTCGGGAAGGAATTCCTCCTTTTGTAACAAAACCTCTAGACCAGCACAGCCTCAGAATGTAGGGACAGCTCAAAAAGGTCACTAGGCTTAATAGAGATGGTGTCATGTACATTTCCATCCCTTGATTCTTGGACCTATGGGAGAAAGAGCACCATGTATTGAATACTGATTTAGAACATCTACAGCTTCCGGGAGAATGTTGGCTGAGCCCTGCAAATTACTGCCTGCCATCTAGGTAGTGCAACAACTGTTTTCAAAAGGCCATTCCACCATTCTTTCAGGCCAGCTGCTTCAGGATGATGGGGAACATGGCCAATGAATTCCATGAGCTATATATGAAATATATTGTCTCCAAAACCCAAAGAGGCCCATTAGGTATTGTGCCTCTTTTCGGGTTATGGGAGAAGCCATACACATCAAGTTAACCTTTACTTTAAAAAAGTATTTAGACCTGTCCCTCACCATTGGACCCCTAGTGAGGTAGAAGGCCCCTAATTTTTTGCTGGAGTTATTTCCCACTCTCAGGCACACAGATGTCTTACAAATAAGCCTAGAGTAGTTGCTACTTCTTGCTCACTGTGTCCAATCATTATAGTTTCATCAACGCAGACCAATGTGAGAATGTCTTGTATAAGGGAGGGTGGGCAAGGTCTTTGTGGACTAAGTTATAACACAGGTTCAGAGAACTAATACACCTCTGAGGTGGGAGAGTGTAAGGTGTATTGCTGACCTTGCCAGATAAACTGCTTCTGGTGCTCTTTACTAATAGGTGTCAAGAAAAAAAAAAATTGCCAGATCAATAGCTGTATACCAGGTATCAGGGGAAGAGTTAATTTGTTCAAGCACTGGAATCACATATGGACCAGTAGCTGCAATTGGAGTCACCCCCCAGTTAAGTCTGTGATGATCCACAGTCACTCTTCAGGAGTCCTGGATTTTCTGCACAGGCCAGACAGGTGGCCTGAATGAAGATGTGGTAGGAATCACCACCCTTGCCTCCTTCAGTCTGATGGGGGTCCTGATCTCTGAAATTCCACCACTGCTTTTGGTTTACTATCTTTCTAGGTGGAGGTAAGTTCCATTGGTTTACACTTGTTCTTTACTACCAGAAGCGCCCTCATGCCACAGGTCCCAACATGGCTATTTTGCGAGTTACTGCGTATGTCTATACCAACATTGCTCTCTGAAACTTGGGCCAAGGTCCATAGGTTCCAGAGCTCACCGGACCCTTCTCTGGTTCCATCCTTGCTGCTTCTGTGGAAAACCCAGTCCTTCTCAAATGCCTTCCACATATTTCTGGGAGTCCCCATAAAATCCTTTATGTATACTCTTCAAACCAGTTTTTGCAGAAGCCACATGGCACCTGCCAGTTTCATTCATTCTTTTCCTCTACTCTCTGGATGAGCTCTGTACCCCAACCTTGGCCATTGGTGGTGCTGCTGACAGAAAACAGGGGTGCCTAGAGGCTGCTGAAGGCTAAGGGTATCATCTTCACAACTATAAATGTGACACAATTATCAGCATCTGTCCATTGAGACTATAGTGAAAAATAATCTTTAGGTTTTGCCCAGCATCAAAGTAATAGACGAGAGTGTGCTCAGAATCACCCTACTACAGATGTCCATAGCTCATCAGTAAAACATGTACCTCAACTGTCTCTCTACCTTCAGGTAAATTCTTTCTCCGGAAGGCTCTTGGTTCCTTTTATCTGCCAGTCCATTAGACGAGGGGTCCTCAAAACATCATCCACAAACTGGGCCATTCTGCCCTCTAGCAGTATATGACAAGATAAATACAGAAATTGCAAGCTGTAATATCTTATAGCAATTTAACATAGTGACTTTTGACTGTAGAATCTGACAATAAAAATGGGATTGTGAAAACTGTATTTTTTATTATACTTTTCTAATAATTTATTTTTATTGGATTTTACAAAATTTCAGTCTGAAATTAAAAAGAAAGAGAAAATCTGATCCCTTACCACAGGTGACTTAAGAAACTCTGATTGACATCATGCTCTGACAGCCTGAATCCATTGTGAGCTGTGGGGGCTCAAGCCTGGAAGTCTGCTGTATACTGTACTTGCCCAGGTGAGGATCGAAGAGCCCACCTGCTCACAAGCCACATGGGTGGGAAGAGAAGAGCTCTAGCTTACTGAGTGCTCTGGTGTCCAGAGGCTCTGGACTAGGAGGGCAGGGTTCTCTCAGAGGCAGTAGTAGCCCTCCCCACCGTGGGTAGGGGGGACTCTTCTAATCCCCTCCGCCCCCCAGAGGGAACAGTGCCTCTGTGGGCGAAGATATTCCTAGGGGGAGTTCTGAGAATATAGCAGTATTCAACCATGGCCTGACAATATTAAATGGAAAATTCCAGATATTTTGAGAGAGAAGGAGAGACCACATTGACAGGCCTTTTGTTACAGTATATTATTATAATTGTTCTATTTTGTTATTAGTTATTGTTAACCTGTTACTGTGCCTAATTTATAAATTAAACTTTATCATAGGTATGTATGCATAGGAAAAAACATAGTATTTATAGAGTGTGCAGTTCCAGGTACCCAGTGGGAGTCTTGGATCATATTGCCCACAGATGTATGTGGAGGGACTACTGCAACTGTTAATACTTTGGCTGTGTCTTAAGAAGTACTGCCTTTATGATAAGCACATACCTGTTAGCAGACATGGCATGACACAGACACACCATTGGCTAGCCTCCTAAACAACCCCACTCAAATCTGCCCTTGGCACAAAACATTCTCCCTCGTCTTGCACTTGCAGAAAGAGCTGTGGGCCTCCTCTCAGAGGGTGAGATCACGGCCACTTCTCAGGGCTGCTGACAACAGGTCAGGCATCTAGCATAGTACTAATGACATAGTAGATATTAGTTAGCTCACCTTTTTCATGTCAAATCCTCAAGAAAACGAATTGAACACCATCGCAGCACACTCTGCATCATATAGCTTTGTGTGCCTCACCTGCAGTATTTACCTTCTATACATTATCATGTATTTATTATCTTTTCTATAGTCTAATAAAATCCTTGGGGACCTAGACTACTTTTTCAACTCTTAATCCTTCATAGCTCAGAGTCTAACTGATATGGATTCCTCATTGCTACTTATGATATTAGTAAGTTGAATTTCTTTTAAATTACAGATATTAAAAAATACATTTTAATAGCAAACATTTCAGACACAGAAAATCATGCTCTTTTTAATAAACATAACCAAAAACTATAAATAAACATGACATATTTTACAAACGGTAAGAACAACATTGCCTACACAAAGAAACACCCTTAGTTCTAAGAACACAAAACATAAAACCATGCATTTCAGTAAGGATTCATTTGTAACTCCTTACTTTGAGAACTTAATAGATTTTAACCTGACATTTGCTTAATCTCATATGATACAAACATAGTAAAATACATTAAGCATCTTGTTGAAATATACAAAAATTTAATATAATTTCTGAAACAATGTTTAAATTAACAGAAAAACTTATTTAACAAGGTATTTCTTTGGATTGCAAGAGCAGTGTTATATCATAGTTTTGCACCTTGCACCATAATCTTTGTATTTTGGGGTTCCTCCTCCACCTTCTCTCCCTTCAAACTTCTATCAAAAAAAAAAAAGAAGTATTAATAAAGATAATAGAATCTATTTATGAGCTCTGGGTGACAATATCTTCTCCCATTTCAATCCCGTCAATCTGCTTTGAAAATGCTGTGTAACAAACACAACTATACACAGCATGTGGATTTAGTATTGCTCCCTCAACTGGCAACAGGAGTTGCTCTTGAATAAGGAGCAAGGTGTTCAGCCATCTCAGTGCTGGTGATTCTTACTTTTCTCGGGCCAACACCTACAGTTTACTCTGAGGAAGGGATTGTTGTAACATACTCTCCTGGAGAAGGCTCTCAGTCTTTTTGGAGAAATGTTGGGTGAAATTAGTTCAGTGCCTATATGTGCTCTATTATTGTTATAATATGTTTAATATTATTATTAAACTACATCATCTACCACTTTATTATCCTACCTCAATTTATGTTTTCTCCTTCTTTAAAACAGTTTCTTCCAAAATGATTAAAAGAGGTTTTTTTTTTTAAGATTATACCTCCTTTCTCATCCTCCCTAATTATCCATACAACATTTAGTTCTCACAGGTTTACCATTAGAAGGGAAGGAAGAACCCACTGGATTTCTGAGCCTTTTACAAAGGGAAAATAAATACTGCAAACATTTTTCATTATAGTTTTAGAAGTTGTTTTGTTTTTTTGTATAAAGGGAAAAAAAGCAGAATAACCCTGTTTCTTCCCCAAGCCAATCTTTGATGTTTGCTATCAATATACTTTCTAAAGAGGCAGACTAAGCCTCAAAGTATACAACTGTTTCCTTCTTGGTTAATAGCTCAATGTGGATGTCAGAGAAGCTGACCCTGACACAGAGTTGAGACTCTGGGCAAATAAGTCCGTAAGGTCGGGGACCATGATAAGGGAAAATGCAAACCCTTTATCTTCTACTGTGTGTTGTAAGAGTGAGCACACAGGGCGTGGCAGTTGCATCAGTTTCCATCAGAAGGGTGACTACGCGGTATTCTGAAGGAGACGACAACATCCTGCAGGGCAGCATTTCCCCATGCATCAGCAAATGCAGCATGTTTGGAAAGATCCAAATCAGCATCTGCTTTTGATTTGTTTTTTAAAGAAAAATCTGTAGTCAGCTTTCAGTGGCAGCCTGCTATGGATCACAGCATCAGAGAACACGCCACCCCGCTCCCAGCCGGGGCATGGCTGTCAGGAAAGGTCTACTTAAAGATGAACGACCGAGATCGGATTGTGCCTTCTCTTTGGTCCAGCTGTTTTCTTATTTGAGACTGTAATGAAACACACATACATGTTTATGTATTACTAAGCAATTTTAAGAGAACTAACTCTGGCTTTAACAAGTATTAAATAAGACATATTGATTAGTAAAGAAACCATGCAACAATAAGTTAATTATCATGTGCCCTTTCCTAAATTTTAATCCATATTTTTTTTGTATTTTTCTCAAGAGAAGTATAGTGAAGTGGGTGCTAAAACTTGTACAAATTGGGAATTAGCCTAATACAGAAATTCATAAAATGCAATACTATTAGATGAATCAAAAGGAGACACAGATCTAAATTTATTGATGTAGAAAGATGTTCATAATAAATTATTAGGTGGAGTGAGTGAACAGGTAAAGGACACTTAAGAATGATTAAATTTTCTTTTAAATTATTTATTGGCACAAGGAGAAGTCTCAAAGTACGTGCATTTGATATATTTTTAACCTTAATTTTTCTACAACGATTATATATTGCTTGCATAATTACAAAATAGGAAGAATAAAAAATTGACTCCTTTATCTGCAAAGATTTCATATGGCAAAATTTTTTTCACTGAATATCAAATGTATCAGAGCCATCTTAAAATGAGTGGCATATTTATTTGGATTTCAAACTGAAAAGATAACCAAAGCTAAAGTCCCAGTATCTAGAAAGGAAGATTCAACAAGATTCTATATATTGGCTAATTGCATAAAATATTAATTAAGAAAAATTGTTCATGTTTAAAAACATCATGGGTTTCAAGATAATATATCTACAGTAAATTTTAGAAAGCTATAAGGACAAGTTCTAGGCTAACAGTTCATTGACTTAAAAACACATATGAAAAATGTATGAGATTGATAAATTTTTATAAGCACTCCATATTCCCCCTGGGAGGTACATAGGAAGCAGGCAAAATAAATTAACTTCCTTGACCTGTAAAAAATTAATGCTTATGTTAGAAATTAAGCTAAGTTCCTGTGGCAAGCTTTCTTCTCTGACAATTTAAAAGGACTTTCTACTATAGAAATATGTCAGTTTTTCTCTGCCTGACCTTCTTGTTCCACTTGCCTCCTCTGGGCAAGCCTGCACACGGAAAGGCAGGCTCATAGACACTCAGGTGCAAGGCAAAGGCTCTGGGGCTGGGACCTCAGTGCAGATCCATCCTTTGTCTTTTTGCCCCTTTCTGCAGCCTTTCCGTTTCCCAGAAGAGTGAACTATTCCACCAGCTTGCAAGTAGACATCCCAGTGATTCTTGGGGATAGTCTGATTCTTTCAACAGAAATATGTCTCAAATCATCACCATGTTATTTCTGAGGACTAGGTATCTCTCCAGAACATTTATATAACTCACCAGTTTCCAACGTAATATCTTGATCCACTCATCAGCTTCTACTCCTGTCTTTGCACAGAGATAAAACGTCCTGAATGGAAATACTAAGCTGATAAGACAAAAGAAGGAAGGTGAGATACTCCAGGTGGTTGGCAGAATGTATATTGGCTGAACACTACTTAGAGTATTCCAAGAAAACAAGAACAGACAAACAGCCTGGGGAAGCAATCTGAGAAGTGGTATATACGGAGATATTTCCGCCAGCACCCTGAACAAATGTTGAGGACCTGTACATTCATATTGTCATTGTGGGCCAGCCTTATATTTTCTAATCAGAATTCAAAGAAGAGAAAAACATGCCCAGGGCATCCCTATCTCCTTTTGTCTTAGACTGAATACAATGCTTTTATATTTATTTAACTGATCTGTGAAATGACTCAAAACCTGTGCTATGTTTCAAAGAATAAGCAAAACAAAAAAGAAAGAGCTTGATGAATGAGTTCATGTGAGTGAGCTCACTTCAATGAGGAAAACGCTGCCCCCAGTGGATCTAGGCAGGGTTAGCTATGGAGAACAGGAAAAAACAGATGACGAAGCTGCTTAGCTTAGCTAGTCAGTCATTCTGTCCACCTCTGGCCATGAGTTAGTCAGTCTCTGCTGGAGGGAGGATGAACTTTCCTAACTAGTACAAAAGACTTGTTCTAGGAATATGATAGCTCACTTGATTGTTCCTTTGGCTATAGAGTCAAAATCATTTGACTAATAAGGTCAGCTGTAGCTTTCATCTTGCCTGTACTTGCTGTCCTTACAGTTGAGATGCAATATGCCAAAAATCTTTTTCCCTTTTATGATTAAAGAAAAAGCCCTGAGCTTACATTCAGAAAGATCTCTGTATCTTAAAACCTGAGCATCATACTTTGTCTATACCAGCAATTCACGCTGAATAGATGAGAGATCAGTCCCTGTGCATAGAAGGTACACCTTGAAGTGAAGTCTGGTCGAGGGGGGCGTGGACAGTCGGGGAGGGAGGGAGTGATATTGTGCACACACTGTACAAAACTGGTTTCTGGATCTGTCCTTTTTTTATAATCCCTATGGGAAACGCTATTAATAGCTATTAATAGGCTATTAATACAGATAACATTTTCCTTTCTTTTTACTAACAGAACTCCAAGTGATCAATTATAATTAGCTGAAGCCAATTATAATCATGCTAGTTCCCTTTTCTAGCTTCCTCTGCCACTGGCGATGGCCATGGGGCCCTGTGTAGGCCAATGAGATGAGAGGGAAATCTAGTGGGAGATTTTCTGGGAACATGTCTGCTTTCCTGATAAAAATGGATGGACACGGCTGATGCCATCCCTATGTCTTTCGTCATGACTTACACAAACTTTGGAGTAGCAAGCATGAGGCAGAGGCCAACAAAATTGTAGACGCAGGACCTGACATTGTCAAGACAGCTGCCTGCCTCCCTGTATTTTGTTATGTAAGAACTATAAACCCCTGCTAGCTCATATGATTTCTTCATGTAAATTTTTAAAAGATATCTACTCTTGGTTAATACAATAGAATTAATGTTTTCTTTGGAGTGCTAATAGTATTGTAGTTCTATAAGTGACATTTTTATTCCTAGGAGATGCATATTGAAGTGTTTAGGGGTAGTGTCATGATGTCTGCACCTTACTTTCAATTGGTTCAGGTAAAAAAGAGTGAATAGATAGAGATTAAGCAGATACGGCAAAATATTAACAATTCATGCATCTAGGTGAGGGGTTTATGGATATATGTCTATCAACTTCTGTATGCTTGAAAACTATAAAATAAAAGTTGGTGGGAAGTAAGACCCCTCTTTCTCAAGATACTTTACTTTTCCCAGTTAGAAAATTGTCATGCTATACTGATTATACTAGAACAAAACACTTTCATGCCATTTTCCAGAAATTGTCATAACAATACAAGTCACCCATCACTGGAGTCAACAAAGTTATGATTGAGGGAAAAACTCCAAAGAAGTAAAACTGTCTAAGACTGAACTGGATCCTCTTTTGTGCATCACTTGGTCAGTGTACAGCCTAATCAACTGTACCCAGCAGATGTGTAATCCTAACATAAATGCCCTGCATGATGGTTAAATTCACGTCACTCAGTTCAAAATGACTGTACACGTTAAGACATACAGTTTTGTTCCTCAGCTAAAATAAGTGGCAAGAAGACTTTTAAAAACATTTCCTTTATAAAACAACTTACCAAAAACAGTTTACCCTTTCCTGTGAGTAATCAAATTGTACAGCGGAACATTCTGTTAAGTCTAGGATCCGAATTGGTTCTGGTGACTTAAAAAAAAACAATAACCTGTGTCATTATAAAAAACACACAAATCTATTCCTCATTTATTTCCCTAACAAATCTTCCACTATGTGCAACTGTCAATTTCCTTTACTCCATGGGGACAGGTAATAGAAAATCTACTAAGGGAAGTAACACATATCTGGTTTGGAGGGTGGTTTTTCATGAAACTGCGCACTAAGAAAACATTGATTTATCAATTTTAATAGATGGAGATGGATTTTAACACATGGAAAGGAGTCATTTTTCTCTTAGGGAAAGTGAGAGGAAACAAAGTAAATTTCAATTGGCTTAATGAAATGGACATGGGAAAGGGACATGCTTTTAACAAAGGGAGAAATTGCTGAAAAAGTTAACACAGTTTAGCTGGTCCCAGAGAATAGTTTCTGGGAAACACTTCTCGTCTTTGCAAAAGAACTTGGCTAATATCAGGAATCAAGAGTTCACATTTCCACTCATTTAGTAGGTGCTTCAAGTGTTTATAAGGAAAATTTTAGGGATTTTAAAGGCTGATGTCCTTTTCATCTAGAGAGCTGATTTTTCAAGGAAAAATGTATTATCGTGTTTCTCACCATCTGGTCTTTGAAGTATTTCAGTTCATTCCTGTGCAAAGTAAACCATCTTGTTTTCCAGGTCTGAGAAGAAATAATCAGGACATGTAGGTTTTGAATACAGAAATGCAATATTTATATGAGACCATTCCCCTTTTGTTTTAAAAATATCTAAAAGGTTAGATACAATAACATAGTCTTGTAGTGTCATTTCTGGAAAAAAATTTCAAAATATCTATAAAAATTAAAATGATTTTGTGCATTAAGCTAATAGTAAAGGCAGGGATATCATCAGCATATTTAAACAAATAAAAAGAAACAGCCAATCATAAATATTCAAGATGTTTTATGACAAACACTAAAATTGCCATCTTATGAACTCTATAATAAGAACAGGTATCATTTTTTGAGCATCTGATGTGGGCTACATACAAGGATGTTTATGTATATTATAACTAATCCTCATACAATGCCACATATTTTTTCTTTATTTTTATTGTGGACACTATTACAGATGTCCCCATTCCCACTCCCCCGCCCCTGCCACCTCCACCCTTCTCTATACAATGCCAAATATTATTCTTATTTTGTAAATAATTGAGGGTTAGGAACCTCTACCACATGATACTCTAAGCCTTGCCTAAGAATTCCATGACACTGATGACAAAAACTGTGGGTCCCCACCATCCTTGCTTTACTAACTGAACCTTAACCTTATCCTGAATGCCAGTGTGCCTAGTTCAAGGTAGTAACAATGGATCTGAAAACAAATCTGCTATGGCTATGAATCCTTCCTGTCCTTAGGGAGAATCCAGTCTAGTAGGGACACAAATAACTAAACGTACAGATTCAATTCAAGTAAGGAAGTACCTTTGAGAGATATTAAGTGCCCTGACTCTTCAAACAGAGATATTTCATGAAGGCCTTCTTGGCACAGTAAAATGAAACAGAGCAACTTTAAAAATATGATCACACAGATTGAGGCACAGTTGGACTTCCGGACTAGTAAAGTCCTAAATTGTCTTTTCTTTGAGATGTTTTTTGACATCGTTACATTAATGCCAGTGATGGTTTTTTTCTTACGTTTAGGTAACATTTTATACAATTTAACTTATTTATTTATTTATTTATTTATTTATTTATTTATTTATTTATGAAATATGCTAGAGTTGGCTGTGTTCCCCTGGTCTGGGGGCCTAGCAGGAGCTGCTTTCTGTGCCTTGCTCTTCTTGCCGGCTGGGGGTTCTGCGGGCAGGAGTTGGGGTCAGGTTCTCAGAGTCAACTCCTTCCGTGGTCCCGGAGCTCAGCGGAGGCCTCCCACTCGGTCTGGAGAGCCCCACCCCCGCCCCGCTCCCATTAGGCACACTGCTGTTGACAGCTTTTGCATTGTGCCCGGGGCTGATGGGATTCTAGTTCCAGGAGAAAGTGAGGCTGCCAGGCAGCTAAGGCACAGGCAGGCATGGAGAAGCACAGATGAAACGGGGAAAGCGGTTTGGGGTAAACGTGTCGGCGGCTTTGGGCCAGCCTGCAGCCCTCACTGCGCTGCCGGCCCAACCCGGGCGAGGCCCTGGCAGTGCCACTTCCCACTCAGCTCAGCCACCGGCCTGGACAACTCCAGGCGGCTCGCGCAGAGGGGCAGGAGGCTCAGGAAACTTGGAATGGGTCTCCGGGTCATTTGCGCAAGTTTCTAAAATTGTTTTGCACGTTGGCAATGCTCTTTCCAAGCTCTTGTGCAAATCTGCTGATTCTACCACCCAACCCTCATTCCTGCCCCAGTCATTTATGGAGCTTCTTTTTAAAACACGGAGAGGATGATACCCCTGAAACTTCAGAGCACAGAACTGTAAAGACACAAAATCTGAACTGGATGGTATCCCTTAGACCTGAGTTACCAACCCCTTCATTTTACAAAACAATTAAACATTTGCAATTGCTTTGTAAAAAAGAAAAAAGAAAAAAAAAGAATAATAATAAAAAGAAAAAAGAAATATGCTAGAAATTGCTTCTTTCAGCCTCCATTAGACCATTAAAAAAGGATTGTATTTTTTTCTTGGGTATTAACTGCAGGCTACTCTGATACATTTGATTTTGCCAAAGAACAGTCAAGTGATTTTTCAGAATTTGAACTAACATTAGTCATAAAGATGAACTCTAGAAACGGGGAAATATTATAACTGGGTCAAAACGGGTAGGCAGTTATGTTTTACATAAATGTCAAAGTGAGAATTGAGTCCCCTGACACATTTTCTTTCTTTGTGACTAGAACTAGCAAACACATGCCTCCTTACCTTGACCAGGCCCCCTTGTTTGGTGAGGTAACCTTCCTTGGTGCCCAGCTGAAAAAGAAAGAAGCACCAAGTAAAGCCCAAAACTATCACAACATGATCTTTGTCTTTCTGTTTCTGTCCTGATTTTAAATAAAAAACAAGTTTGCCTTTCATCTTTAAATAATCGCTTTTTATTTTTCACCTAGGCACTTGAAAATCCTTCCTGTGTGGCTAGAGAGTGTCAGACTGGATTGTCTTGCGTAATTCTGTAGCAATTGGCAACCACTGAGATACTCTTGTTTTTGCAATTTGCAAAACTTTGCAATTTGCTATTTGCAAACAATAAACCACATCTTGCTACTTATAAAAGCTAGTGTTGGACAGTGTGTCATGTGAAACCCACCTGCTTGGGTTGTTACAGGGGAATTAGGCACATAAACATGCACACACATGTTGATACCAGGTTAACACATTTGAGAAAGTCTGGAGTAAGCAAAGTAAAGGGGTTTATTTACTTTCGTGCTTCCCAGAGTCTATCAGTATTATACTGATGTGTTTTGTGAATTTTTAAAAGGGAACATTGGAAATACCATTCCAATACTTATTTTATTGCATAATCTTCCACCAACTCCCTCTTTAGTTTTTCATAGACCATCAATTGAGACCTGTATTCCCTCGGACAGAGTTTCAGGAATACAGATTTACTTATACTCGATTTATCCAAAAGGAATTGGAAGTGAGAATGAATCATTTCTTTTAACTCGCACATCACTAATTCAAAGGTAACAACATACTTCCCTAGCAACTAGAAAATGTAACAAATGGTAGGGGCCGTGTTAATAGAAATTTGCATAAAATAAGGACCATAAGATGAAGAAATTTATAATTTTATAGATTCCTGCAGAAATTGAACTCCTGGTAGATATTTTATTCTAATATGGTGTTGTAATAGTCTTTTCTTAATAAGGAAAAAATGGATAAAATTGGGAAATAACTTAATTGACGTCAAGGTTCTTTTTATGGGAGTTTCCAGAGTATTTTTTTCCTGAGGTAAATTCTCCCCAATAAAAAGAGGAACAATAACCACCACAATAAAAAAAGTTAAAGCAAGAAATAATATATAACCACTTCTTTTAAAAGTCTTACAGCATTAAAGTAAGGATGAACTTCCCAAGTGTTTATTTAAATAATCTTAAACCATATTGGTGAATTTCATTTAGCATAATCAGTTTGACATATTTTGACATTAAAAGAAATTGAAGTAACTGAACTTGGTTTGCTTATTATGGAAATGGCAAAAATTAAGATTTTGGGTTGCTGCAGGTTAAAGTTTGCTGAGGCAAAATAATTAAGGGTAAATCATTATATAGAAGACCCTGATAGAATTGTTCATTGAAATCAAGCTAAGGAATTATGCTGCCCACTTCATCTTACCTCCGTCCAAGCAATATACTATGAGTCTGATATTTTTCTAAGGTTTTGGTAGATAGGCGGAAGTCTGAGAAGGAGAGCTGAGAATATTAATTTTATTCATGGTCTCAGGAAGTAAGGAAGGAATAATTATACAGCTGATATATCTTTTTTTAAAAAATTATGATCTATAACAGGAAGGCTATTTATAAGAGTCTCAAACTGGAAACCACTTAAATGTTTAAAAAGAAAGGACTAGTCTTCCTACCACCCTTTCTATCTGCTTGTGTGCATGCCTGCCTTAAATTTAGTCAAAAGTCATTGGGCGAGGTGAAGCAAGGTAGGCGTCAGCCTGAGTGTGTGCAGGACATTCCACCTTAGTACAGGGTGGACACGAGCAGAGTACAGAGAGCAGCTATGTGGACGATGGTGGCTGCAGAGGCTTGGAGTGAGGAATTGAAGCCTGGCTTCAAGTGAGGAGGGCTTTTGCCTGAAGGGATGGAAGTGGTAGACAGGCCATAGTGTTAGAGCTAAGTCAGGCTAGGCGGGCATGTGCGGTGGGGACAGGAGTAGCAATGGCCAGGCAATGGTTCCTGGGCAATAGGAGATCGCTTACATTTGGTTGATCACAAATAAGTAAGTGTATTAAAGATAATGTAATCCATATTCTTTACTGTGGGAGAAGGGCGTTACAAATATGAAAAGTGAAAATACTAGAATGAGCCTTGTGGTATTGGATTAGGATTGGAGGTGCTGGCATGAACCTATGGATAGATGATGGATAGATAGGTATTGATATATAGATATAGGTAGATAGGTAGACAGATATAGATAGAAATATAAATAAATATAGATAGCAATATAGGTATGTGTACATATGTATATACATATATACTTTTGCAAGCTCTGCTCTCACATAGGGCTGAGAGAGCGACATCCTAATAACAATAAACATGTAGCATCCCGGTCTTGGCTTCCAAAGTCCCATACTGTCCAGAAAAAAGGAACAGAATTTCTTAAAGAAGTAGCTGATTCTTGAAATGGATGCAAGGAATGTAGCAGATAAGCCTGGAGCATTGTGCTATAACAGAAGGTAAAAAAAAAAAAAAAAAAAAAATTCTCAAAGACTTTTGAGGTTATGATGACATAGAAGTCACCTTGAACGGGCTCCTAATGGCCAACCTGGGAAAATTTAGAGTCAAAATAAATTATGACAGTCATGATTATAACCCAATGATATAAAGATAAATGATTGCATGAAATTCAGAAAATAAAAAGCTGTTCCTTATAGAAGACTTATAGAGTGAGAGCCAATAAATGTAAAAGAAAAAACAGAATTATGGAATTTCCATTTGGTAACACAGTAGCAATAATTAAACAGCCAAGAAATATTAATGGATGCTGAAAGTGGTGGCTAAAAATTTAATGAGGAACAGGATATTTACTTAGTCTCAACTGCCCTCCAAACATTAATATTGAAGAATGGAATAAAGTGATTTTAGAGTGAAGAAACCTGGCAGACACCACCAAATCAAGCAGCCAAACACACCTTCATGAGACAAATTGAAATTATGTTTCACCTGAGAGGTTGCACTGGAAAGGGCAAACCCCACCTTTGTGATATTTCTAGCAAAACTGCAAAACCTAAATCTAATCTTAAGGCAACATCAGACAAATCAAAGTTGAAGAACAGTTCACAAAGTAACTGGCCTTTAATTTTCAGAAGGGTTAAAGCCATGAAATCAAGGATAGTGTTCCAAAGCAAGTGAGGAAGTGTTCCAGAGTGAAGAATACTCAAGAGGTGGGGAAAAAATAAATACCACTTGATTGTGGACTGAACCCTTTTGTTCTACTGACCCCTATTGGGAAAACTGGGGAATCCTGAATGAGATCCAAGGATGGGATGATGGTACTGTATCATTGTTAATTTTCTCATTTGAATGGCTCTATGTGGTCATGTAGGCAAATGTGTTTGTGTGTAGGAAATACATACTGAAGTACTGGGGCAATAAGGTATCATATTGGTAATTTACTCTCAAATGGCCCAAGAACAAACACATTCATTTGTTCTATTTCTTTAAATTTTTTTTCTGGAATTTATTGGGGTGACATTGGTTAATAGAATTATATGGATTTCAGGTGAATAATTCTGTAATATATCCTTTGTATATTGTATTGTGTGTCTACCACCCCAAATCAAGTCTCTTTCTGTCACCATTTATCCCTCCTTTACCCTCTTCTCCCTCCCCCACTTTCCTCTCCCTGTGATAATCACGATACTGTTCTCTGTGTTGGTGAGTTTTCTTTTTTCCTTTGCTTAATCCACTCATCTCTTCCACCTACCCCTACAACCCTCTCCCCCACCAACAGCTGTCAGTCTGTTCTCTGTATTTAAGAGTATTTTTCTATTTTGTTTATTTGTCTTCATTAAATTCTACATATGAGTGAAATCATATGGTATTTGTCTTTGTTGACTGGCTTATTTCACTTAGCATAATGCTCTCCAGGTCCATCCATGCTGGCAGAAAACGTAAGATTTCCTTCCATTGTGTAAATGTACCACAGCTGTTTAATCCTCTCATCTACTGATGGGCACTTGGGCTTTTTCCATATCTTGGCTTTTGTAAATAATGATACCACGAACATAAGGGTGCATATATTCTTTCAAATTAGTATTTTGGGTCTTTAATATATTCCCAGAAGTGGAATCGCTGGGTCATAAGGCAGTTCCAATTTTTATTTTTTGAGGTAATTCCATACTGTTTTCCAGTGACTGCACCAATCTTCATTCCCACCAACAGTGCAATATGGTTCCCTTTTCTCCACATATTGCCAACATTTGTTTGTTGATTTATTGATGACAGCCATTCTGACAGGTGTGTAGTGATAATCTCATTGTAGTTTTAATTTGTATTTCTCTGGTGATTAGTGACATTGAATATTTTTTCATATATCTATTGACCATCTGCATGTTCTCTTTGGAGAAGTGTCTATTCAAATTCTTTGCCCATTTTTTAACTGGTTTGTTTGTTTTTTTCGGTGTTGAGTTCTTTGTAAATTTTGAATGTTAACTCTATCAGATATATCACTGGCAAATATGTTCCCATTAAGTGAGTTTTCTTTTCATTTTGTTGATGGTTTCCTTTGCTTACAAAGAGTTTTTAGCTTGATGCCGTCCCATTCGTTTATTTTTTCTTTTGTTTCCCTTGCCTGAGATGATATATCAGAAAAAAATATTGCTATGAGAAATGTCTGAGATTTTACTGCCTATGCTTTCTTCTAGGATTTTTATGGTTTAAAGTCTAATATTTAAATCTATAATCTATTTGAGTTTATTCTTGTATATGTTGTAAACGTTGTATTCTTCTTTCAATTTTTCCCTGTCAGTTTGAAATTATTTAAAATAATAAATACTTTGTGTTTTTTTAACAAACCTTGAAAAGTCACCAAAAATAGAATGTAAAAATGTAATAATGATTAACTTAATAAGTTATGGTATATCCAAATATTAGAATATTTAAGAATTTGTTTTAATGATGTTTTAGAAAACTATGTAATGATATGGAAGAGTTCACAAGATAAATAAGCACATAGTAACTCTATTTACAATGAAGAGCTCATTATATATGTATAATAGATATATTTTATATATATATAAA